TTAAAAAAATAATATATATATATATATATATATATATACACACATACACACATACAATACATATATATATATATACACACACACACACATATATATATATATATATATATATATATATATATATATATATATATACATACACACACACACACACACACACACACACACATAGATCTCCTCCACTCTTCCTACCACTCCATCCCCCACAGCTGTCCCTCCCGTACCACTATCCCCTCCCTCCTAGATTGTAAGCTCCAAGGAGCAGGGCCCTCGAACCCCTCCTGTATCGCATTGTATTGTTATTGTACTGTCTCGTGTATTGTCTCCCATTGTAATGTACAGCGCTAAGCGAACTGTTGGCGCTATATAAATACTGTGTAATAATAATAATATATTTAAAAAAAACACACAAAAAATAAAAAATAATAAATTTTAAGTATGAACCAAACAAAAGTCATTCAAAAACTCAAGTTCATTCAATAAAGTGTTCTTCAGTGAACCCTCCTTTTGGATAATGAAGAATATGTGCATGTGTCACATTCCCGTGCAAAGACATCCTCCACCATATATCTGCTCACCTCACGCAGTGTGACCTCACATTATATCTGCAGATTATATAGGGCTCCCTTGCCATCATGCCAAAATGCTGTATGATACCCGTTTAAAAAAGAAAAAAAGGAAAATATATAACAATGCAAAGAAAAGTTAAAATATATACTTACCTACTTCTAGATTCCTCCTGTGGCACCTGGTGAGGGTAACACGGCTGTCCTTCTAGCGAGAATGAAGAAGATCTCAAATTTTATGAGAAGACACTTCCGCACAGTGTGTGAGATATAGGTGCGGGGATATGGGTGCGGGTGCGGGGATACGGGTGGGTGCGGGGATACGGGTGCGGGGATACTAGCCAAATCTTCTTCGCCACTATTTTCTTACATAACCAACAAAGCCTAGAATTGTATGGCTGTCAATCACAGCCTAGTCCATAGCCTTCAACAATCCAGGAGTCCTTTCCTAAAGTACACAACAGACTCTTCTGACTGTTCGTTTCGTTCTCTACCTTTATTTTTTAGACCCTTGTGAGAGAAGTCACCAATGCTTTCCTTTTCTACAAAAAAAAAAAATGGGAATCTGGCTGCTGAGGCCAAGAAAAATGTTCCCTGCAATTCTCCTTTAAATGTGGGACAAAGAGCTCTATATGCTGTAGAGGGGAACAGGAATGGGGCACCATCTTCATGTTAAATCACGATGAGTGACAACTGTTGGAAAGGCCCTGAAGATGTCCAGGTGTGAAACCCTCACCTCCACAACCTCAGGTTGCGCAATCCCGCTTCAGTTCCATATGTACGGCGCTCACACAGAGCCACCACTGCGAATATTCCAGGAAGTCTCCTTCACCTCGAAAGCACTACTGAGTAAGTCGGCGTACCTGGAATTCTCCGCTAATCAAAGCAGAATGTGCACGCTTATAGTGTTTCCACTCGTCGATTGCGAGCTCTGCAGGGGACAGTAAACACCAGCATTGGAGTATGTCCTCTCTACATCTGCAAAAGAATTTCCTAATAAAAACCTGAACTTCTGAGCTATCCCCAAGAATCCTGGTCTGCTAATGCGATTCAGGAGACCTTGCATTTGTGCAGAAGCAAAGGAGAACCATAAAGCATATGACCCATTACGTTGATCCCTTCTATCAGACACATGGGGGTTGATTTATTAAAGGCAAATAGGCTGTTCACTTTGCACTGGAATTCGCCCCACAGCTTCGTGAGTGAGGCAAAGTTTTACTTCTCAAAGAATAACCAATCATGTGCAAGAAATTTTTTTTTTTTAATGGCATTCTTGTACAGGATTGGATGATAGAATTCAACAATCCTTCATCTCTTTCGTGAAGCTCTTCCTTGCAAAGTGCATCTTGCCTTTCAAAGTGAACAGTCTATAAATCGTCCCCAATTGGTTCATTTAGTGTCCATTAGGATGAAACGCTTTCTGTTTGCAAGACCCTGGAGGATCCTGTAGTGGGTATGTTTGGGAATATTTTCATCTGTGATGTTACCAATGGCCCACTTCCTGTCACAGGGTGACAACGCTCATTTGCCTTAACCACTTGACCTCCGGAAGGTTTTACCCCCTTCATGACCAGACCATGTATTGCTATTTAACACTGTGCTACTTTAACTGTAGTGTGCAGTCCTGCAACGCTGAACCCAAATGAAAATTATATAATTTTTCCCTGCTTTGCAGGGAGAAGAAACAGAGAGATGGCTATTCCCTGTAACTAGAGTTCTGTGTTTTTGTAAACACAGAACTCTGTTTGACTGGACACACCAGATCAGCAGGTTTCACCTGAAATCCTTGGCTGAAATCAGCTGCCAAACTCGTGCTGTAATAAAAATAATACAGCGCAAATAATACAAATAATCAAAACTGTGACAAATTATATGTGAAAGTCAAAAAAAGTCCCAATTTAAAGTCCAATGTCCCAAAAAAATGTGAAAAAAAATATATTATTTACTCAAACTTTATAAATATTCCAGCTTGCTAACATCTTCTGTGAAATTTTGAATTGTGAAATTTGTCAGTTTTGGGACATTCGCAAGCTGGAAAATGTTATAAAGTTTGAGTAAATAATATTTTTTTTCACATTTTTTGGGACATTGGACTTTAATTTGGGACTTTTTTTGGACTTTCACATTAAATTTGTCACAGTTTTGATTATTTGCGCTGTATTATTATTATTATTATACAGTATTTATAAAGCACCAATAGTTCGCTCAGCGCTGTACATTACAAAGGGGGACAGAACATGTGACAGAACAATACCAATACAATGCAAGACATGAGGGGATCGAGGGCCCTGCTCTTTGGAGCTTACAATCTAGGAGGGGGGGGGGAAGGTGGCACAGGAGGAGATAGCTGTGGGGGATGGGTGGTAGGAAGAGTGGAGGAGGTCGGCAAGTTAGCAGGGGGTGGGGTAGGCTTCCCTGAAGAGATGGGTTTTCAGGGTGCGCCTAAAGGAGAGGAGAGTAGGTGATAATCTGATGGGTTGGGGCAGGGAGTTCCAGAGGATGTATTATTTTTATTATTATTTTTTTGATGTTTAGTCAATACTTTAACAGCAGCATTTAATTTTTCACTCATTTCCTTGGCGAAAGTTTGATACATATTTTGTACAATCACCTCAATACATATTTTGTGAAACTTGTGCGGTGTCCAATCGAAATACGGGCCGGCAGGAAGCGTGCACATGCGCGCCGCTGAAACCGCAACAATTGGCCAACGTACAGTTACGTGATAGTGCCTGTACCTGCCACCCGCTCGCAGCAGTGGTTAATCTATGGAGCAGCAGCGTTGTCACCCTAGGCTGCCCTCGATCCCCTCATGTTTTGCATTGTATTGGTATTGTTCTGTCACATGTTCTGTCCCCCTTTGTAATGTACAGCGCTGAGCGAACCATTGGCGCTTTATAAATATTGTATAATAATAATAATAGGCTGCTTTCTAATGGCTTGGACTACAGAACCGTTTACCTCTCCATAACAGGAGGGGGTGTTCTGCAGTTCACAAAACTGGGCAAAGCCGATAAACACTTCCTGGGATCTCAGCGCAGGACAAACTGACCACACAAGACGTTAAATGCTCATTGGGTTTTTGGAAAAAAAATAAACAAAATAATAAAACAAAAGGCTTTCAATGCTATACATCACAGGCCAGAAGAGAGCAAATAAAGAGAAGTTCATTGTTCGGGTTTTCATACAATTAAAATTTGAATTGTGACTGGAGTATATCTTTAAATCCGAGTTTACAACGTGGAAGGTTGAGTAGCTGGGATTTCAGCCAAAAGCAGCAGCACTCCTGTAACTATGAAGGTAAATACAACATTCTCAAGTCCCGTACAAAGTAGTTCTCGTTAATGTGCCAATTTGAGGCTGTCATTATCCAGAGCCATAGGCCTAAGAAAACTCCAGGTTTTAGCCTCAGTTAACATCCTCTCCCCTCCCCGGGGTGGTGTCACACGGCGGGGCCTAAACGAGATGTCACTGAGCCCGAGGAACCCTCTCCACCTCCCCTTCCAGCTGGGAAAAAAAAGAGAAATAACGGATCAATTAGGCACATTGCCAACAGAGAGGAAAAGGGGGTGGGGGGAATAGTATAACCAAATTTAGGAATGCTTGAGAATAGAGCCGGAGGCACAGGCTTCCCACAGACTGTGGGGGGCCACTCGGGTGGGGCCTTGGGAGGATGAAGGCCTAATAAAATGATAATAGAGAAGGAAGAGTCCAGGCTAGACCAAGGACACTGGATGGAGCAGGATATGGAGAGTGAAACGACCTAGAGGCAGGGGGACGGGTGGGGGAAGAAGAGTATGTGTGTGGAAAATACATTTATGCACTCATGTACGGGACCAGGCATTGACCAGCCTCTGCAACCTAAAATGGTCGGCTTGACCTGAGGGACAAGCATACTGACCACAATGTTCCATCTTTAACCAAATAGTTCCAGAAACTTTAAAGTGCTAAGCACTACGACAAGGTTACTTTGAAAGGAGCATACGTACATGAGAAAATACACAAGAAAAGTTTCCTTTAGTGAACATAGGCTTAGTGGTTAGAAAGCCTGCCTTGCAGCACTGGGGTTCCAGAACAAATCCAAGCTAGGACACTATCTGCATTGAGTTTGCAAGTTCTCTTTGTGCTTGGGATTCCTTCAGGTACTTTGGTTTTCCTCTCAAAAATGTTGATTTAACCGCTAGCCTACAGGACACTTATACCCCCCTCCTGTCCAGGCCAATTTCCAGCTTTCAGCGCTGTCGCACTTTGAATGACAATTGCGCGGTCATGCAACACTGTACCCAAATGAAATGTTTATCATTTTATTGAGACAGATAGAGCTTTATTTTGGTGGTATTTAATCACCTCTAGGATTTTTATTTTTTCTTAAACCACCAAAAAAGTTTTTTCTTAGTTTTTGTTATACATTTTTGTAAATAAGTGATTTTTCTCCTTCACTGATGTGCGCTAATGAGGCTGCAGTGATGGGCACTGATAGTGGCACTGATGGACACTGATAGGTGGCACTGGTACGTTGCACTGATGGGCATTGACAGGCATCACTGATGGGCACTGAAAGGCAGCACTGATACATGACACTGATAGGCAGCACTGACTGGCACTGATAGGCGACACGACTGGCACTGATAGGCGACACTGACTGGCACTGATGGGTGACATTGAAAGGCAGCTCAGACGGGCACTGATATGTGCCACTGATGTGCACCGGTATGCACTAATATGTGGCATTGATGTGGCACTGATGGGCACTGACAGGTGGCACTTCTGGGCCACACTGATCATCAGGGCACACTGATTCATCAGTGCCCTGATGATTAGTGTACATGTCCCCTCCGCGGAAAGCCGGTTACCAGCTCTCCTCTCCTCTCGAGCTGTCAGCGTGACGGCTCGAGAGGAGAGAAATGCTGATAACCGGTATTTCCATGTTTACATGTGATCAGCTGTGGTTGGACACAGCTGATCACATGATCGATCCGGCATCTTTGGCTCTTTCCGTGATCCGCTGTGTCCCTCGGATCGCCGCGCTGCACGCTCCCTGAGCTGCGCATGCGCAGTGAGAATGGTAGGACATCATATGACGACCTATCAGAACGAGAGAACCACCTTGCGCCTGTCATTGTACTATAGGGCGGGCGGAAGGTGGTTAACTGGCTCCTGTCTAAAATTGACCCTCAAATGTGTGTAAAAGTGAAATAGGGCCTTCAATTTTAAGCTCTTGAGGGCAGAGACGAATGAATGTGCCTATAGTAGTAATAATACAACGGATACTACACACATGACAGCCTAGGCTCACAGGAAGTAGAAAAGAAGAGGCCTGTCATTCAATTGGGAAGAGTCAAGAAAAAAAAAAAAGTCAAGTGGTGAAGATATCTTTAGCTGCGTATAGCTCTGGTCCTACAAAAAAGGTGACCTCTATTGAAGCATTTTATTCATGGACCCAGTTAGACTTCCTCTGGTAATTTATTATAATGAAAGCATGGTTTACGGACCCGTCAGTACTGCTGGAATCTAGAATACAAATAGTGGCCAGAAAACATCTTGAATTTACCTCCCAAAAATATCTTCGTATCTAAAAAAAAAAAATCCATGTACAGTATATTCTGGAGGATCCCAACTTGAGATTCCTCCTAGGAAGTACTTTCATCGTGAAGAAAATAAAAACACTATTCTCTTCTTGGAGAGATATGCTTGGAAAGTTGCAGCTGCACAAAAAGGCGAAGGCCGATGAACGTGCTCCAAATCTTACCAAATTTCAATCTTTTTTCAATGTTAGCGCCACTCACAGTGTTGTACGGTGAACCCAGGGCAATGTGGTCAAGCACAGCAAGGGGACTGTGTTTAAAGAAATTGGGCTAAATGATGGCTATTATTCAACCAAGAGGAGAGCCACCTACCAGACCTTCTGCAGGAGGACAGCACCACATTGAAGGTGAGTATTGCAGAAAATAAAAATACACTGGAGTTAAGGTATGGTATATCAAAAGGTAGATAGGACAATCAGTAACAGCCTTTACAGGAGAATGACTTGTTCCTCTATTCTGGTTGTGTCCATTTGGGTTGTGGTGGCACGGTACATTTCAGGGAACATGTTTACTACCAGGGGCGGACTGACCATTTGGAAACTCAGGCTCTGCCCAAGGGGCCGGGATCAGTAGGGGGCCCCATGAGATGCCTGTTACCTTTTTCATAGGCTTTTTTGAGTTTGGGCAAGGACACAGGGGCCCCATGATCCCCGATTGCCCGGGGGCCCGATGAGTTGTCAGTCCGCCCCTGTTTACTACATATTTATGGGTAGTCTAGATAATCATGAACCTATAGAGTTGAGAAACATCAGTGTTGCTTGCACCATAAGGAAACATTTGTCCAGCGATCATCCACCGAGCTCTGTGTACGAGGGGCCCAACACTGGGCTGTCCATTACTCTGGGCACTTTGATTGCAGCGCTTCCTTGCCTTCCCTACTAATCATACCTCTACCCATGGAAACCCCCAAATCCTCTTCTCTCACTCCATGTCAACACCGTTCAGTGGACAACATTTTCAGGAAATAAAAAGGTACGTTAGGGATTACAAATTATTCCATTTCAAGGATATTCAGCCAATCAGAGCACAAAAGTAGAGACACAAATCCCATATCAAGCTTTCAGACGGATGATGAGCTGTCTCCGCTGGGTGAGAGGATTATACTGGCTCTCCAGCTGTGCCGATTTAATCCCTAAACCGAGTTTGGTCATTTCTCTAGAATAATAATCCAACTGACCAGTATGACATCTATAAATGCCGACACATTTCCATGCCATCATCCATCAAACCTTGTAATGTATTATAGATGAAGTGTAAAGGAAAAACACATGGAGTTAATTTGGACCCATTTCCAAAGTAGAATGAGAAAAAAAGCCAACTGGACAACATAGGACATTTTCATTTTTTTTCAATGGAAATTGCGTGGTGCATCTAATCACTCCCACCTACAAACCCCCAATTCCATATGTTTGATTACTCAAGCACAAGGCATACCGCTGACAACAGGGCACTTAAAGTTTTATTAAAGGAGAAGTATGGGCAAAGCTTTTTTTGACCCTACTTCTCCTTTGAATCACAGAAGCGGACTTCGTTCTGAAGTCTAGTGACCCATTTTCAGCTGGCAACGGGATAAAGTCCACTGTTGGCTGACATCACTCAGCAGGTTCAGGCTTTGGAAAGATTCCTACCATGTGGTCAGGATCCACCCAGAAGCCTGACCAAAAGCTGGCTCAAGTTCTCAGCCGCTGAGAGCCTCAGCCAGCCACTCCAGCCATCTCCACAACCCAGCACTCCAGTGACCGCTGAATGGTCAGAGCAGAGAGCTGGAAACTGACAATCACCAGCTCTCTGCTCAATGCAGACTGAGAACTGAGTGGACATTGACCGCTCAGTTCTCAGTCTTCGAAGTGGCAAGGGACAGATGCAGCATTGAGCCGATACTGCAGCCACCTAGGTGAGTTTAATTTTTTTTTTTTTTTTTTTTCTGTCAATCCCATACTTCTCTTTTAAATCCTCCAATTAAAAAATGGAATACAGCAGCCTACTGCTGCACTTACCATTTTTACCTTTGGTTTGTGGCCTGTCACCTCCCTGCAATTTGTCTTCACAATGTATCTATCCTCCATCTCTGTTTGAAGGGTGGCTATGTTGCATTGAAGTTCTCCAGAAATAGGGCCACCCTTACGAATGTGCTCCTGGTTGGCATTGCAACTCAACGTGCCAACGATCCATGCACCACCAACACGCAAAGCCAGCTCAGAACTCCAAAAAGGTAAGTCGCTCCCTAGCCCCTCCCTCCAGGGAATGATTGGCGGGTGTGGGCAGACAGGACAGATGAAAGTCTAAGATGGTCATGCACTTTCTATTCATGGCGCTACGGGTGATGGGATTGCGGGCAGTCATGTGACCTTTGTGTGACGTCCAGGCAGGTGGTGCTGTGGTTGGGATTCAAACCGATGACCCGCGCACTGCCAGGCGGAAGTGCTAACCTTTTAGCCACTGTGCTGCCCTAATGAAAAAATGCTAAAAAAATGCAAAAAAATTCACGTTTTTAAACGCGACTTAACACACCTAATGCTGCCAGTGTTATTAAAAACGCGCCGTATGCATGGAACCTAATGAGAGAGCGCCACAATCTCCAGCCAAACGCTCAGCTTGTGGTCGTGTTGCAATGTTTGACTACGCATCACCTCCTGAATGTCGGCCAACTGTTGCCATACCGCCCTTTGATTCACCGCAAGCATTACCGCAAACATTGGAAAGCATTACAGTCAGTGTGGAAGACGCCTTCTGCCGTCTGTGTCTCATTAGGGACACTTCTCTTCACTTCCTGTCCTGTAGACGTAACAGGAAGTGAGAAGATATCTTTCCATTGTGTCCAGATGGCAATGAGATCCTAACTCCTGTGGTGCTCAGCCTGTGGGGCCCTTTGGTGTTTGCAGGGAGGCCCGTGCTCTCCGTCAGCAGCCAGTAGTAGTAGCAGCAATGATTTGTAAAGTGGCTGTAATCGCAGTTTTATGTAACGTCTTTGACAGTTCCTACAGCCAGGGGCGGATTGACAATTCATGGGGCCCCCGGGCAATAGGGGATCATGGGGCCCCTGTGTCCTTGCCCACACTCAAAGCACACCCAAAAAAGCGTATTAAAGATACCAGAGGCATTTCATGGGGCCCTCTACTGACCCCGGGCCCTCGGGCACTACCCGAGTTCCTGAATGGTCAGTCCGCCCCTGCCTACAGCATGATTCCTGTCTCCAGCTACACCTGTAGTAGTATACTTAGAGTCTCTGATCATTTCCTCTAGTAAATCTTCAGTCTGACAGTTGTCTTAACATTACATAAACTGTATATTATATGCATGCCTTTGGTGACGTCGGGGGCTACGTCTGAGGCCCCCTATACCATGAGAGTTATGACCCACTGTTCTTACCCCTCACCATTCTATTCCAAAAACATTCGCATGAAATTATACAGGCGCACCTTGGTTTACAAATTTAAAGCGTTCTGCGGGACTTTTCGTATTGCGAAAAATTCGTAAACTGAAACGTGGTTTGCCATAGGAATGCACTGAAAACCAATTAATCCGTTCCGGAGGTCAGAAAAAAGTAAAAAAGAAAGTCTTTGATCTGTTCAAAACTCTTTGTAAAGTGCACTTTAAAAGGTATAAATACTGTACAGGGACATGATTAAAAATTTGTAAATGCATCGAAAACCAATTAATCCGTTCCGGAGGTCAGAAAAAAGTTTTATCTGTTCAAAACTCTTTGTAAAATGCACTTTAAAGGCATAAATACTGTACAGGGACATGATGAAAAATGAATTTGTAAATGCACTGTAAACCAATTAATCCGTTCCAGAGGTCAGAAGAAAGAAAAAAAAAAAAAAAAAAAAGTCTTTGATCGGTTTTTTAAAACGCTTTATAAAGTGCACTTTAAAAGCATAAATACTGTACAGGGACATGATTAAAAATTGATTTGTAAATGCATTGAAAACCAATTAATCTGTTTCGGAGAAAAAAAAGTCAAAAAAAGTTTTATCTGTTCAAAACTCTTTGTAAAGTGCACTTTAAAGGCATAAATACTGTACAGGGACATGATTAAAAACATTTGTAAATGCATTGAAAACCAATTAATCCGTTCGTACTGCAGAAAAAAAATTTGTAAACCGAGGCGTTATTTTCAATGGATTTTCATTCGTAAACCAAAAATTACGTTAACCGAGGCGTTCGTAAACCGAGGTACGCCTGTACTTTAAAATCAATATCCGCTCATGCCAGACTGTTCTATGAAAGTATCTGCCTTGTTCTCATGCACTTTTCTATCTTGAGGCTTTGGAATTTAAATTCAAGGTCGAGGTTAAAAAAAAATAGAAAATTGTTGCTCATTGTATATCAATTGGAAGGGAAAATAATACAGTGAATAGGTGGCATTGAAAAAAAAAATGTGACATTATGAAAATGCAAATATGCCAGCCGTGAATATACCAAACCCACACACTGAGCAAAATGCCACGACATCCCAAAGTGACCAATCACAGAACAAAGTCTTGTAGCAATCAACTGTATTGATTATTTTCAACAGATTTCTGCAGTTTTCTGTAAAGTAGATTGGGATTTCTGCTTTTCCCCCACCGACACCTTAACAGATTCCTCCATTCACCTTGAATCTGCACTGCTGGCTATCGGATTCAGGCAACCACAGCACCTGCAGCTGTTTGAACACCCAAACAGCGACTTCATCTAATATGATCAGTTCCAATTATTCCTACTACAGTCCAGTAAAACTGTGGGAATCCTCTCCCATGTACAAGCTGCCAGCCCAAAAATAAGACACCCTGTACAAACACATATGCCTTTAAGTGTTCTTTGTATTTTGTCTCTGCTCCTCCCCTTCCTTTGGTTTAGTTCATGCTGTTTAGATAGCCCCGCCCCTTTGTTCATGTTCCCAGTAATGCACCTCAGCTTCAAGCCTCATGTCTCATGGAGTAGATCACATTATGATCTTTTGACCTATCCTAGATTGTAAGCTCGAAAGAGTAGGGCCCTCGAACCCCTCGTGTGCTGTTTGTTGTTGCTGTACTGTTTCATGTATTGTCCCCCCCCCCCCCCCCTCTATTGTTGGCGCTATATAACCTTGATGTAATAATAATAATAATATCTGATGTTCATTGTTGTCTCTCAGTTTATGGAATAAACTTCACAAGATCTACAAGGTGTCATCTGGATCGAGTCACTGCCTGTGTTATTCAACTAAGATTGGAGTTATCGCTATCTCATCAGAACTGTAAGTTACAGAGATCACACTTTCAATGCTTAGATTGGAGAGACAGAACAAATACTATTAGATATTAATATCAACAGGACAACCCCCGAGGTTCCAGCACTACCTATCCACTTTTCCAAATAGCAATAAACATCTGACAGGGGCTCTAGCTTACCCTACTCTATTAAAATGGCATTTCATTTGTCTGCATTATGGATTTTCCTTGACTTTCTGTTTCATGACACTGCTCGCTAAAGCCGACCATAGATGGTTCGAATCTCGAGTTTTGATCCATGTATGGGCAGGCTGAATGTACCAAAGTTGATTGATCGATCAACTTGGGTACAACCAGCCTGCCGGATTTTACAAGCGATTATTACTAGCGGATGCTGTAGTGTTTGGGTTTCCCCCAGCGGAAGAACACAATGGCTCCGCTGAAGGAAAGGAATTGACTAGATTCCCCCATCAACACAGACAGTATTTATGGGGGAATCTAGTGAATTTCTTTTCTTCGGCTCGAGGTTGCAGGAAAGACATTCACTCCATCTATGGCCTGCCTAAGGCTGGCTGTAGATTATGCAATTTTTGTTATTTCAACCACAGGTCGCAGGAAAGAAAATCACTCGATTGCCCCATCAATACAGTCAGTGTTGATGGGGAAATCCCTCCCGCTGCGCTACTGTATTCTGACAGTGGGAGGCTTCCCGGCTGACAAAACACAATGCCCGTTGCTGGCGACTTTAGCCACCAGTGGTGATCATGCAGACAAAATGCAACAGACTGGTTGTACTGTACTCATTCGATGGATTGACTTCAGTACAACCAGCTTGCCAACAGATGGATCAAAATTCGTCCGGTTCTCGCTAAACTGGCCAAATTTCAGTCTGTCTATGGCTGGTTCCCAAACTCTGTCCTCAAGTACACCCAACAGACAATGTTTTGTGAATTTCCCTAGAACAGTTGCTGCATGGATGTGTGGGGATATATTTGGAACATCCCCCCCTCCCCGGCTACAGGACAGCTATTGACTGAAGTAATGAGCACTCTTCGTTTTCCTTGGACTCATTACCCAACTTTCGTATTTCTAGATAAAAGCATTAGAAGCCTCCTTTGGTTTGGAGGGCAGTGTGATCCGGCCATCTTCCACTGGGCACTCCTGATTATGGGGCCTTTACCCGGTGGTCCATTTTTTGAGCCAGTGGGGGGGGGGGGGGACTGTAAATACTTTGAGTCTTTAATATTTAAAAAGAAAAGAAAAAAAAAAAAAGCAGCTTGCCCAGCAATTTCAGAGCTCCTTATCTGTATACTTGTTCCAGGGCTGATTCCACCGGCTCAGCTTGTCCTCTAGGTCAGTGTTTGTCAACCTTTTTTCAGTCAAGGCACCCTTTACAATTATGGACAGTCCCGAGGCACCCTTTACAATTATGGACAGTCCCGAGGCACCCTTTACAATTATGGACAGTCCCGAGGCACCCTTTACAATTATGGACAGTTCCGAGGCACCCGTTACAATTATGGACAGTCCCGAGGCACCCTTTACAATTATGGACAGTCCCGAGGCACCCTTTACAATTATGGACAATCCCGAGGCACCCTTTGAAATATGGACAGTTCCGAGGCACCCTTTACAATCATGGACAGTCCTGAGACAGCCTTTACAATTATGGACAGTCCCGAGGCACCCGTTACAATTATGGACAGTCCCGAGGCACCCGTTACAATTATGGACAGTCCCGAGGCACCCTTTAAAATTATGGACAGCCCCGAGGCACCCTTTAAAATTATGGGCAGCCCTGAGGCACCCTTTAAAATCATGAACAGTCTTGAAGCACCCTTTAAAATTATGGACAGTCCCAAGGCAACTTTTAAAATCATGGACAGTCCCGAAGCACCCTTTAAAATTATGGACAGTCCTGAGGCACCCTTTAAAATCATGGACAGTTCTGAGGCACCCTAAAATGTCAAAAGCTATTCTGATAGTTTTCTATAACGCAGCAACATCCACACATGTAGGACACCCAACATTAGAGGTGATTTATTCTTCCAAAGCAAATACATTTTTGCACACTGGTACTGACTAGTACTCCCATGTTTCTCCTCTCCCTCAGTTTTTCTCCATCACTCAGCTATGGTGACCCCAGTACTGATGGAGAGGGGGGGGGGAGGGTCAAACTAGGATGCTGTGCAGGCAGCTGATATCCTCCTTATCAACTGATGTCGTCAATGGTTGTCAGGATGCCGGTGGCTAGAAGGTCTTAATGGTGCACAATGAACACCAATGGATTTGTGTAACTAAAAGACGGGCTTGCTCCACCCACTGGCTTGTATACAAGTTTTCGGCAATTTATAGACATTTTTCCAAGCCACCCCTGAAGAAACCTCAAGGCACCCCTGAAGAAACCTCAAGGCACCCCAGTGTGCCTGGGCACACTTGTTGAGAAAGGCTACTCTAGGTAACTAGGGCTTTTTAGAAGAAGACGGAGGTCCTTCACATTTCTCGTGTAACGTGTGAGAACGGCGACTCTCCAACGTGTGAGAGTTTGAGGTCAGTAATCCATGCTTACACTTGGAACAAAAACGGACTAAGCCTCAGCCATGGCTGTGCCCATATGAGGAAAACTCTGAAATATTACACATCAAATTTGCCCAAGAATGGCTGGGAAAGGCTTCAAAGGGTCGTTTTTCAAGGCTTTGCGGGGAACGATTTTCCACTGTAATTACACACAGCAGCTACCAGCGGAGTCTCACACTCCCAGACGCAGGCGAGGGAACAGCTGTTTCTGCTACCAGGACCAGATGGACGTGAAGGAATGACATCAGACTTTAACCCTCTCATTGCGCACAGCCAGCGGCACAGGGTTCCAACGCCAACGTGACACATGAAGGAAACATTTAACACAAATACTGGGCACCTCCCGTATACCGTTCATTCACAAGTTTACGCACTTTCCAGTAGATAAACATCTGTTCCTTAAAATGAACCTTTGCTAAGCCCACACAGTTCTATGTTCTATGCCTACAAAGCCTTACATATACCCAGTGCAGTGACTGTCCTCACGTGAGAGATTAAAAAAATCCTCCTACATAGGTAGTACCTGTCTATCTGGAGTCTTCTCTTCTCTACATCCAATCAAAGTCCAGAATTTATACAGCTTGTCTGACCTTTCAGAATGCAGGGGGCGGAGCGCTGAAATTACACACTGAAGAGTTCAGCGAGGAAAGAGCTAATTGGAGGGAAGGGACACACCCCCTTCACACAGCACACATGAACAGAGCTGAGGCTGTCAATCACAGGCTTCATGTTTGAGCTCCCTCCTTTTTTCTCTTGGTGTCAGGAAAACTTGTCCGAAGTGACTCATCCAGATAGCAGAGGAACGAGGCAGCAGACAGAAATGACGCTTTGTGGATTTGGATGGAGACAAGTACACACTATAAAAGGATATGCTTTGTTCATATTTCATGTCTGAGGTTTACAACCACTTTAAGCTCCCTCCCCAGAAGAATAAATGCACCTGACTTTGTTCCCTTTGCAGCTCCGTTCAACCACCACGGGTAAAGGAAAAGTCCTGGGTAAGCTTTGAGTCACCATAGTAATCGCCAACATAGGGCTATGGACTCCCTGCGCACCGTGATGATTGGGCCGGTACTATCACATGGTGTAAGTTGTTTGCTCCTCCCCCCATGCTTTATAGTATTGGGTACTTCCTCTGGTGCTGAGCAGAGCAGCAGGCGGGTATAGTTACATTCAACAATGATAATAATGTGAACCCAAAAGAAAAGTTTAATTTTAGTCCTAACATAGGTCTAGACCAGACTTTCTAAACAAAGGGCTAGTTTATTGTCCTTGTGACTTTAGGGGTGGGGGGCAGATTGTGGCCAGGGGGAGTAGAAATTTTCCTGGCATCCCTGGGAGTAAGCAATGCCTCATTTTTGGTATTAGGGGAATTCGTGCCTCATCATTGGTGTCAATGGGAGAAATAGTGCCCTATTGTTGATGTCAGTGGCAGGAATCATGTTGGTATCAGCTGGCTGAATACCATCTCTTATCAGTGGGCTGAATAGTGCCCCAAAGGGCCAAATAAAAGCAAGCAAAGGGCCACATCCGGCCCCAGGGCCACAGTTTGGAGACCACTGATCTAGATGGTTATTGTTGCTAATGAGTCCATTCAAGTTTTATTAGAAGTTGAGCCCTATGAAAAAAAGAGTTTGTCCCAAAACGCATTGGTTTTTACCAATTTTCAAGTAATTTGAAGTGGAATTCCAGCTTAACAATAGCTTTGCGTAAAATGATCCCACCCACCCCATGCCTGCTACCTATCCTTCCTAACCTGTGTAAACAGGAAAAAAAAAAGTATTTTTACTTATCTATTTTTAGTCCGCTCCAGTCATGTGATCCCCCAGCTCTGGCTCCCCTGTGACAGTAAGTGGCAGATGCAAGGGAGGGGAAGGAGCACCGACAACTGGGTGGGAACAGGCTAGGCATGAGAATCAACGAGTGGCGTCATGGCTCACGGATTTCACAGCGGTTGTTGAGCACTCCCCCTCTCCCCTGCAGCCGTCACTCAATGACACAGGGGATCACTTGACCGGAGCAGAGCAGACTAAAAATAGGCAAGTATACAGATCTTGCTACTTATCCTGCCTAACCGGTGTAAAAAAAAGGCCACTCTTTTCTGTATTTCTATGGTGTGTGTGAGCTCCAGTGGTGGGTACTAGCTTGCCTGGCCGCCCTTGGTTTCAATGCTTTGAGCGTCACTAACCCAAGTCGCAGTGTGGTGCACTGGAGTACCATTCATTCTGACATAGCCGATATTCTACCGGTGCCTCCAGCTCGGCGAGAGCGAAGGCTGGATTAATCGGAGGTGGTATTGTTCTTACTACTTTTTATTTATTTAGCTTCATTCATTTTCAGCAGGGATGCTAGTCAAGATTCCAGAGTATACAGCTAAAGACTGGAGGAGGCAGTTACAAATCTGTATAAAAAAAAAAAAAAGTTTTTAAAATAAACAGCAATGAAATTAAAATGTGCCAAACACCAAAAAAGGCGAACCAACTAAAAACCTCCTATAGGATCCCTTTAAGAAAGTGCACTGAGGCTGTGGGTTGGCCGAAGCTGCGATAACACATTGGCTCCAATGTCCTGGTGATGCAGCCAGTACTCGTTATCTCTACGAAGACTCCCACAAAACACACAAATTAAATAACCACTTCCGGGAGATTCCAGTCCATTTCCACCTGATAATAGAATGAGTCGCTGGCCACAAAGTCATAACACAACGATAAGCCAGGACCACATGGAGGAGGAGAGTAAACAAGAGAGTCACGCAATAAAAGGGCTCTGAAAAGTGATGAGAGACAATGGGACTTCAGCAATAGCAATCCTGAGAAAGTGCCGGACAAGGATCTCCAAACGTTCTAAACAAATGGCCAGTTCACTGTCCTTGTTCAGACTTTAGGGGGGCCTGATCACAGCCAGTGGGAGTAGGAAATATCCCGGCATTAGTGGGTGTAAACAATGCCACATCTTTGGTATTAGGGGAATTATTAACGCCCCATTGTTAGTGTCAGTGGAAGAAAAAGTGCCATATCATTGGTATCAGTGGGAGGAATAGTGCCCCATCATTGGTATCAGTGGGAGGAATAGTGCCCCATCATTGGTATCAGTGGGAGGAATAGTGCCCCATCATTGGTATCAGTGGGAGGAATAGTGCCCCATCATTGGTATCAGTGGGAGGAATAGTGCCCCATCATTGGTATCAGTGGGAGGAATAGCGCCCCATCATTGGTGTCAGTGGGAGGAATAATGCCCCATCATTGGTATCAGTGGGAGGAATAGTGCCCCATCATTGGTTTCAGTGGGGAGGAATAGTGCCTCATCATTGGTGTCAGTGGGGGGAATAGTGCCCCATCATTGGTATCAGTAGGAGGAATAGTGCCCCATCATTGGTATCAGTGAGGGGGGAATAGTGCCCCATCATTGGCGTCAGTGGGTGGGAGGAATAGTGCCCCATCATTGGTATCAGTGGGAGGAATAGTGTCCCCATCATTGGTATCAGTGGGAGAAATAGTACCCCATCATTGAGGTCAGTGGGAGAAATAATGCCCCATCATTGATGTCAGTTGGAAGAATAGTGCAACATCACTGGAATCAGTAGGAGGCATAGTGGAATCCCAACCATGGCACTACCCGCCTGGAGTTCGTTCTCCCTGTGCCTGCGTGGGTTTCCTCTGGGTACTCCGGTTTCCTTCCACACTCCAAAGACATGCTGGTAGGTAAATTAGCCCTAGTATGTGTATGTATGAATGAGTTAGGGACCTTAGATTGAATGCTCCTTCAGGGTAGGGACTAATGAGAATGAGTAATAAATATGTATAGCCCTGCATAAATTGATGGCACTATATAATTACCTGTAATAAATAAATATTGTTCTGTAAATTACATGTTTTTAAAAGAGAAGTTCTTGAATTAAAAAAAAACAAACAAAAACAGTCATACACTTCTAGGTGGATGCATCATCGATGTGATGCTGCATCTGTCCCCGGCTGCCTATAAAACCAAGACCTGAGCGATCAAACACCACTGATCGCTCATTTCTCAGTCTTCAGTCTGCAGAAAGACAATGACTAAGTCACCAGCTCTCTGCTCTGCCCCTCCAGTACTCACTGGAGCACCAGGCTGTGGAGGGAGTGGAAACAGGCTCTGGCTCTCGGCAGCAGCTTGCCGAGAGGCTGAGCTAGCTTCCACTCAGGAATCTGGGTGGATCCTGACATTAAAGTCGGGATCGCTCTAGAGCAGTGGTGGCGAACCCGTGGCACGCGTGCCACAGCCGGCACGCCGAGCCTTATCTGTGGGCACGCCAGGAGAATCCAGCGGCGCGCTGTCTTCCCGGCTGTAGTGTGCGTGACAGCCGGGTCCCAAGTGCGCATGCACAAGAAGCAGTGCTCCTTGTGAATGGTAAGGCGG